ACTGTCATATACTTAGGATAAAGAGGGTAAAAAGGATAAAGATTGTCATATTCTTAGGATAAAGAGGGTAAAGACTGTGATTTTCTAGATACGCTAGCTGGAAATGTGAAGTATATTCATAGGAATCACAACTCGAGCCTTGGACCATACGATCCGGAACCCAACATGTTCACCGCTAGACCACGCCCAGCCCAAAATGAATACACAACTGAAGCAATAGATATAGTAATCAGTATAATTTGAATTGTGCGGATAAATTTCACTGCGAAAGATATATTGTGTGGTATGAAAAATATTGAGATTTTTTTCTTCAAAATGAGCTAATTCAATCAGAACATAAATGTAGGTATACATTAAACAGCCTGTCATATACAATAAGCTAACTAGAATTACTAAATATTAGTTATCACTTCAGAAATAAACCAAACACGTGTAGTGATTAGAGTATGTGTTGAATGATCGGTTGGATATCCTCATTATTGACAATATTTCCGATCGTAATACCAATCACGAGGTTCGGTCAACTTAGGAAGTAGGAATTAGTAGTTGTTAATTCTTTTATTAAAATAGAGAAACATAACACACACAATTTCTTCCATGAGAATCAATAACTTTTATTAAAAATTGGATATTTCATATGTATTTACACGCATTAGGTTTAATTTGGAACAATATACATGAGTTCTACCGTTCGGAAGTTCATGCAAGTTAATAATAAAAGTAAAATTTAAAGGCTTTTGATATCGCAGAACATTTCATTTTCATAGAATTACATTAACATCTCAAAGATTTTTGAAAATTATTTTGAAAAAATATGCAGTTAAATCTATAAGCTTAATATTTACCTAATTTTAATGTTACAGTATTATTAAAGGCTTTATATCAAAAGAAGAATTTTGTTTATCTGAACTTGGCAACTCACTCGCGTGAAAATAAAATAGCGTTAACAACGCTGGAATATGACCATTTTTCACTTTGCATTTTGTGCAATAACATGTTTTCACGTGCATTCGAATAGGTTAATTTTTGTTATACAATTTCGAAATTGTAGATCGGAGTTTTATAGTTTCTTCATTATTGCTTACTTTTTATTGAATATTTCGATCTCTTGACGCCAATTCTACCAGTAATAATGTTCTAGTTTATACGGTCTTAGTTATATTGGTGCACTAATTAAATATGTTGACGGTCTAGAGAAAGAAGTTTAAAGCTTCAAGAACAACAGGAATGAATATATGCGAACTGTATAGATTTCAACAGGAGATTATACTGTACAACATTGTAAGCCTCATCTTGTTGCACATGTTGATTATTAAACTTGGAGTCATTTAATTTTTATAAGAATCAAGACCAACACTTATAGTTCGTCTTACAGAATTTCACTTCAAAGAATCATATAAAAGATAGAACTTTGTAACCCTCGAAAAGGCAAGTGGAGACGATGTGTAAAGACATTAATTGCTCAAAACACAAAATTTAAAATAAATGCCAACATGGGATTGAATGGGGGTTTACTGCGGCGTACTTTAGACCTAAGTTTAGTGGACTACTGGCTTAAAATTATCTGCTGCATTAGATACTACACGTCATTTTTTTCTATATCATTGATAAACATTTTCAAAAGGTTTATGACAAGTTTTAATATGCTGGTAGTAATTCATATCATGTTACTGTTAAAATGGTGTACTTCATTAGGAATAAGGTGTGGTGAAATAATGTCTAGCTTTAACTCATGTCTAAGGAACTGTGAACAATAACTGTTGTTTTCTTTTATAATCCTCTACAATTGTAACGATTACAATGAATAAGGATGTGCTATATTATACATTTTAATACACCATATTAATATAATCAAATAAAAGAAAAAACTTCTAAAACTCGTTATATGTAAGTTTCATAAGCCTAACTTGAAATCTGAAAATTGATGAAATTAGCCAGAATAAAAATATGTGGTATCAACTAGATATGTCTTGAAAGTATCATATGGAAATCTCTTCCAGTAACACTTTACATTTATTACTTCCAATACCAACTAAGAAATTATCATAAATTGTTATTAAAGTATGTATATACAACTGAAATCGACATGATATCTAATTATGGAAGATATTTAACCTACGTGGAAGACATGTTTCGAAAATGCATACAAATCAATTCCATGTTTTGGGTAGCAATAAAACCCTTATAAAAATTTTTCGATCTATTAAAAATGAAAGTCACTTTTGTACAACGTACTGTATAATTCCATTTACCTTATTTGATTTTATATCATGACAAAAAAACACAACTCAAATAATTTAATTAATTTCCAGAGATTTTTACCACAATAAAAACTTAAGGGAAAAAAATCGTTCCAATTTCATAAAACGTAATATGTATAATATTTTTCATGATTAGGCTATGATTGATGTTAAATACAAAACACTACATTAATCGGCAATTATTTAGTTTCGATTATCGTAAATATTCTTACAATCACCCAGAAAAACAACAACAACAACACAAATAAAGGTGAATCTCGCAAAAGATTTGTCGCTGCCCAGTAACGACATTCTGCAATGACACATAGGTGAATAGAGATTAATATCATTTGGCATGGGCGCCCGCAGGAAGGGGCATGGGGGATCACTTGACCCCCACTTCATTTTCAAAAAAGAAAAAAAAATTACTAGACATGTAAAATTATTATTCTATGTTATTGGAAAATCATAAGGTATTTGTAATTACAGGGGTACTGACCCCCCTAATTTTTGTTCTGCGGGCACCTTGTCATTTGCCATATAGTTTTCGAATATAAATAGTTTTTTTTTTCTAAAAGGGATAAATTAAATTAATCTACTTGAAATACTGATAATTATATTAAAATTTCACTTACATACAAACATTCTTAATCACATTAATGTTTTTCAGTCACGAAATTATTGAGAACTCAGCAAAAACCACACTCACGGGGGATCATACAAAACCAATAATTATACTTAACGAAAATATAATTCTCCAAAAGTGAATACTAAATAGATACTAAACTTTGGTGTTAGTAGAAACAAATATAATGTATTTTGTTAAATGTTGTTGTTTTTTGCATAAGTATAACAGCTATAACTTTAACATTATTAGTTCCATTTTCAAAAACGTGCAGTTGTATGTCTTAGAAGAGGGTATAAGCAATAAACTACAATGTTAAGATTTCAGACTTGAAAATATTAGTAAATATAATAGCAACAAAGAACTGTAATTTTTTTAAAAAGAGAAAAACATCTGTGGAGATATCACTGATGAAGATAATTATGAAGAAAAAAGATTAACAGTATGCAACCTGAAAATGTTTGAAGAAGTGTGAATGCATTATAGAATGAATTAGTTGATATGATATTTAATTTAAATATGTTTTACATCTTACACACTGAAACATGTTGAATTAAGCTCAATACTTGAAAAACGATCTTCTAAACAAACTGCCATTTCATATTCATCACAGATCATCTCAGACTTAAGAGGATCGTCGATCAATTGATCTTTTGTTGTACACGTGCTTGGTTTCTAATAACATCTTTGGGCTTTCACAGATTAGAAAAGATGGGGACTTTCTAGGGCGAATAAAACCATAACATTGTAGACTAAGGACTTTCAAATAACGGATTCACGATTACGCTCATTTTCGTCAGTACTTCCACAACTTATCGGGCTAGTCTCACCTCCAGTTCCACACACCTGCAGTTCAATCTCTGCTAACCTGTTTTCTACTTCCCACTGTTGATGGCTCAGTTTCATGCCCATAGAGGCGTTTTCTGTTTCCAAAGTCATGAGTCTTTCGCGCAGTCGTTTGATCTCCGTCACTAAGCTTTCCGGATGGGAATCCCTGTCCGAGTGAGGTGTGACCCTTCCTATGTGGCTCACATAAATGGGTGACGGCACTGGCACGTGAGGCGAATGGCTACTGTAAATTGTGCGGTCAACGCCAGTAGAACTCATCGCCGAATAGTCACTAACAGGAGACACATCAAATGTGTTATGGCTGGAGGAGTGAACAAAGTAAGGTGACGGTGGCAATGGCGTAAACAAATCAGTATGTGAAGTGGTTGTAGCTACAAGTTGCCGGTCGAGGGAAGACTCTACAAGATAGAGTCTACCGCCACTTCTTTGTGCCCCAGTATGAGTTGGGAATGAACTCCTTAAAGTTGGTTCGATCTGTTCGTATAAAGGTGTTCCTCTCCGCTGAATATCGTCCACACTTGTTCTACGGCTTCTGGTTCCACTAGCTGTGGCCCTGACGTTCTGCCTACATTCGTCGTCTGACAGTAGGGTTGCCGCAGAAGCAGTGGTGGACGGTTCCCGCGGATACAGGGGCATGTTTTCCAGAGGAACTTGTCCGTGCGATTCCAGGAGACCTGGGGTGCTATGGCTTCGACTCATGGCAACTGGAAAAGTTCGGTACAAATGATTAGTATTTATAACAGCACAGATGCGAATCATTCGTAATGTAATAAAGATTGATACAATTTTTATTTATTTTTTTGTGATTCAATAATTATATTATTACACTGTGTAATTACACTAGCAAGTTTGAGAAACAACAAACATTATACTCAAGATAGCTATTTCTATTAATAAAATATTAAATGTGAATGGAAAGTAAGGATCGTTGGTTATTCGTATAATTGCTATAAGAAGTATCCAAAACAAAATAAATGCTACAATAAAACAGTACCCAAACAAGTAAAGGGATACTAATTGGATAGATTTTAAAACGATTTTCAATCATTACTTTGGTTGACAAATTTAGACTGCTTCATTTAGCTATATGGACCACAATGCGGATACAGTCAAACCAAACTTTGTCTTCATACAAGAGAATGCCACATTTAACAATGTCGGGATTACATTGCATTATTTCGAATTAAAAATCCCTAAGTGAAGGACTGATCAATAAAATTTCCTGATCTGTTTCCATATAATACCTATAGAACTACCTTGCACATAATCTTCATCAACGCTATATCGTTCCATTTAACGTCTGAGAGCTTCGTATTTAGGAATAAGATAAGATTTCTTTAAAATCATATGCTAGCTAATCATATATATATATCAGACCTCTCTGTGTGTCAAGCAGGAATGACATCATTGGAGATAATTTCTTTAACCGATTGTTCAAAGACACCTGTTATCGAATGCTATGGATAATGGCAATAGAAATTGAATACTTCTATTACTAGCAAAAGCAGTGGCCGTTAAAAACTGATGACAGGTAAAAGGAAAGACGACTGAATAGATGTGTAAAGAACAAGGCAACAGACCTCAGACTACTGTACCCCAATCTACCGAATCCTCCAATAGTAGTTGGGGTTCGATTACTTTTAACTGAGCCATAAATAGCATGTCAGTTTACCATATGATAGCCCATAGACAGTTTTAAAATTGCTTAATCTATATACAGACTAGAAATCCCAGTTTCAGTGGTGTATGGAATACGAACTGTCAGTGATGAATGACTCAAGGCATATGATATAGTCACATGGATATCATTAATTACTTTTCTATACCATAGATAGAACAAAAGATATGAATAAAACTACTTGAGGTATCTTGTGTTATTCTGACATTGCAAGCTGCTGGATGTGTTATAATTGGACGTGGAATATTAATAGAAGGAGGCAGATACTCTGATTCTTTTAAAAGGGTGACTAACGCCAAACATGTGTCTGAAAATTGTTGCTAAGGCTGTGTGCCTTTGTGCTATAGTTTCACTTTGATTCACAAGAGCTCTTCCGAGAAAATATTACAACAATATTTTGCTTTCGTATTGCTTATCACTTGTTTAAAACGCAAGGTTAGTAACTCAGTCACTTCTTCTGGCTTGCACATTCCCCGGATTTTAATCTAAATGAGCATCTGTTTGATGAACTGAAAGATCACATTGTAATACTCTGCTTACATCTGTGAAGGGACGCCTTCTGCCATTTTGTGGCACGCCGACTCTAAGCTACTATCGAGGCGAAAATAGGCCCAACCTAGAAAAAATGGTGCAACCCAATCAAGTGGACTAATATTATTATGCAACACACCATAGTTTGTAGTAAGTGAATCAAAATCCAGATTTAAGAAATACTGAAGCGTTCATTGAATTATACTCATTCACGTTATCCTGATAGTGTTTTAAAACAGACAGATTTGAGTTTAGACATACAATGAACATATTTGACAGAAAAAAAAGATTTGTTGCCATCAAAATATATATGTCCTTTCTTGACCTGTTTAAACCATTATGCACGAGGGTGGTCCAAATGATTCCTGAAACGTTTGTAAAAATAAAAGAAATTAAAGAAAAGCTCAGTTTTGTAACATTTCCCATAGTTACACTTGCCATGAAGCAAATAACTTAATATTTTCTATTTTAAAGGCTCTTCTATTTTTTTGGAGAACAGCACCAATAATTCAAAGGTTCTTCTACTTTTTTTGGAGAACAGCACCAATAATTCAAAGGCTCTTCTACTTTTTTCTTGGAGAACAGCACCAATAATTCAAAGGCTCTTCTACTTTTTCTTGGAGAACAGCACCAATAATTCAAAGGTTCTTCTACTTTTTTTTGTGAACAGCACCAATAATACAAAGGCTTTTCTACTTTTTTTGGAGAACAGCACCAGTAATTCAAGAAATACTTGTTTATGATAATTCACTTTTGGAGAGTTCTGAATCACAGTGAAACTGAAAAGGCTAGAAGTAAAGAAAACCTTTTCAAAAAAGGAAGTAAATGTAGGCATGGCTAATATCAATTCTTTATAAACAATGCAAACAAGATAGTAGGGGACACATAGTGCAGTAGAATGTTAACAGACAAAAATAGAATAAATCAAACTCAATTGTGATTGAATAATTATATACATATTACCACATGTTAATTCCTGCCTGTACTTTTATGTAGGGATGATACAACTGCTGTTCATGTTATCTTGTTTGCATTGTTTTTTGAATAATTGATATTGACCATCCCTACATTTACTTCCTTTTTTGAAAAGTTTTTCTTTACTTGTTTGCATGTTTTTAATGCAGTATTTCAATAGACATAGGAGGGTTGTATTTATAACAAAGTTCTAAATACAATTATGTTCTCACTGTAATATTTATTGTTTATCTATTATTGGCTGGTAATTCCTGTTTTACAATGTACTTAAGGTCTGTAAACAAACATTAGATGTCTGTAAGAATACTAACTTTAAGGGGTAATGATAACATCTTTACACTAGAATTATGATTTTTTATTAAATTCTTAATAGTTATTAATAATACTTATAAAACGGATACTCCGTTTGAAACTATGTAACCTCAGTGAAATTGGTTGACACCATTGTTTTACTTTTAGAGTTATCATCTAATAAAAAAAAGAATCAGAAAAAAAGAAGAACAAGAAATTCAAACTTTTGGCTATGATATTTAGAGAC